GGACGCGGCGTCACCCGGACAGCCTAGTAAATACTGACTCCGGCCGCGGAAGCCTACGCTCTCAATCTCTTGCCGCCACACAACGTATCAACTTTATGTTTTATTTTGGAAACTACTTACGTTTGAGATAAAATGTGTTCCTTTCTGTTAAACAATAAAATTAATTTACTCAATTAAATTGTAGTCATCTGTCTCGACGGTTAAGTAAAAAACATCAGTTTGCTGTATTTTTAATAGAATTAAGGAACTTATATCAGAATGGTGCAGTATTGCAAAGAAGTTTCTAAGTATAAAAAACTCACATCCGTATCTAGAGTGCGGTAGAAAGTACCAAAATAAGAAGAGTATCACGAGTTTATGGTACGTTCTTAATTACTACTTGAAGATCTCCTCTTTGATCAGGAACTCTTCAATTATTTTTCAAAATATTTTTGAGAGTTTCCTTGGATAGCGAATTTGCTTTCCATGGCACCACCAGGGGTTCCTTTTGCGAATGGAGAAAAAATTAGGTTTCTCGTCTCACATGCCCCATTGCAAATATTTTGTTACAATGTGAAAGCGTCTCTTGAGTAGAGAATAACAAATAAAAGGATTGTGAGCTGCTTACCACAGGTATCCCGAGCCCGTTGCCGTGATCGCAGGACATGAGCTCGGGACCCCATGACAGGCCCTAGCCTCACGAGAATATAGTGCAAGAATATATACATACATCTCTACTGTTCTGGTCAGACTATATGTTTTATGTTTGTTATTCCTTTCCACATGTTACTGCCTTTGAAAATATGTAAGAATTCGTGAAGGGTAGAATTGTTCGACGCGCGCTCCATGCGTAACGTGCAGTCATACCTTGTCACCTCTTGAACAATGGTGCAAGAGAGGTTTAAAGTCTGCTATCGCTAGTAAAGTAAGATGGTTGCAAGTTCGAGTAGATTCTATATTTTACCGATATCTCACATCGTTAGTCGTGAATTTAAGTGATAATAATAACAATAACAATAATAGTATCTTTGTAAATGGTAAAACTCAGGTCACTCACCTTCATTGACAAAGAAATTGCCGTAATACTGCATCATGGAGATGGCGTTGGCGTCATGGGGCGTATTCTCTGAGACGACCCATTCGAATCCGTTCTTCTCGGGGTGGTAGATAGACGCGTAGAAGGGGATGTTCTTGTGCTCGATGGTGGACACGAACTTGAGCCCGTTGAAGTCGTGGTTAGTGGACAGCACGCGCCAGTTCTTTGTCAGCCCGAATTTCTCCATTGTCTGCCGAGAGAAACTTTCATCAGATAGTTGTACATTACCTCAAAAAAAGTATTTTTCAGATGAGTGTGAGCCTCTCTTCTTTGATGGTTTATTGGTGAGAGTGTATGAGCATATATCAAGTAAGATTAAATCCATGAGTGACATACGCTGAACATATGATTAGAGTTCGAACGTTGTTTTGTCTGTTCAACTAAGTGAACCAGCATATCATATTACTATGGAAACCCCTCAGAACATCCCTCAGCAGATACATCATAATATATGATAGTAAAATTAGTACAACAAATATTGGAGAAAAGAAGGGAATATAACCTGCAAACTCATCTAGCATTTATAGATTTCGAAAAAGCCTTCGACAGTGTAAATAGAGATAAACTTTGGCACATCATGGAAAAACAAGGCTATCCACGGCATCTAATAAAGGTGGTCAAAAGCTTATATGAAAATACTAAATCACAGTATCTGAAGAGATAATAACAAAGAAAGGGGTAAAGCAAGGTTGTCCTATATCACCTACATTATTTATTATATATGTACAGGACATAAGTAAGTCTTTAAAACAGAAAGTTGACTCTGGTATAAGAATGACCAAAGAAGTGATATTAACGATTTTATTCTATGCTGATGACGCACTTATTATTCAGGAAACAGAAGACGAACTACAGAGAGTAGTACACAGTAAGGTCAAAAATTGTCCTTGAAAACAAAATTATAGAGCAAGTTCTCTCCTTTAATTATT